TGAAGTCTTCAGTGTCCACTTCCCTGCTTGCAAAACAGCTGTTAAAACAGCAATGTTCAAAACCTCTTACCCAAAAATAAACCTTCATTTTTAAAAGTAAGGTAAATGAGGGCAGACACCAAGTACCTGCATCCTTCCAGCCCCCAACAGCAAAATGCAGCCAACTCTCAAATTGCCACAGCCATTCGTGTATTCAGTCTACAGCTCATGTGCTTTGTCTTCAGCAGTGGCTGATGCAGACCTTAGAAACGTGGCACCGTGAACTGCTGCTTGCTTCAGTGCAAGTGACACTGGGGCTTCATTTTCCACAGGCAACAACTTAAACTCCCTGGGGGTTTGACCTTGCACCGGTGAAGACTTCTTGTGGTTGTCCAGGGGACAAAACCCAGAGCAGCTGGGAACACCGGTAACATAGGCTAGACTACTTAGTGCAATACCTTAAGGACTTACCCAAAGGGTTAAAGAGACTGGTCAATTTAGCAGAAAATAATTAGAATCCCTACATACAGGAATCCTGTTGCCCACTGAGAGTAGCCCACAGCCTTTAATAAGGGTTATTGACCAAGCTGTGGGATTCAGTCAGTGGGTGGGAAGTGATTCTTGATTGGAAACTAGGATTTTGTGCATTTTTTCTGACCTTGCCAAAGAATGCTAACTGGGTATGTGTACAAGTGATGCAAATTAGCAGGAAAAGCGTGTGTGGTGAAAAGATAATGGAGTGAAGGTTACTCTTGTACTCTTCCTTATTTCCTTTTTCACCATACTTCTGTTTCTGTCTTCTGGCTAGTTCGCACATTCTCTGCACTACCACTTGTAAACCTCTTTCCTGACTCGTACCATGACATAAGTTTATCTTCAATTTGATTTAGAGCCTTCCATGGCAGGGGTACATAATTCCTTTGCAATCAGTTTGTGTCTTGCATCTGGAGTAGCTTAAACATTGTCTTCCAAGAGAGAGGCATTTTCTGGTTGGAACACCCATTTGCTTCATATAGAACCTGAAAAATAACTGTCACAGCTCCACACATCCTCATATACAATTCTCATTTCAGTAATTGCTTCTTCCTCACAGTCTCTTTAGTCACTACGAGAGGACTGTTTGCTTGGAAAAGCAAAATAAAGGTGCCCAAGGTGATGATAAGCTGTCCAGGGGCCACAGAGGAGGAGGTGGCACCCAGCTTAGGGTGGCTGGCTCAGCAGGTGCCCTTTCACCCCCAGGGTTGGCTCAGAGCTGATGGCACCGTTTGTGCTGCTGGCTGATGCCCATCTGCCCTTTGCCCCGACCAGAAGACTTGGGGTCAAATAACTCCTTAAGAGTAAGCAAGGTTCAGCGTGTGCCCAAATTCCTGTTTGTGTAAATGTTCTCTCTTGTCCAAGTTCTTCTATGTTTTCCAATGGGAGAAGATAGTTTAACATCCCTTACAAGAGGCTACTGTGTGTCAGAATATAGCATAGTGTATAGACATGAGCTGTGCAGTGCTTTGAGCTTTAATCAGAATTACAGACTGGTTTGGGTTGGAAGGGACCTTAAAGCTCATCCAGTTCAAACCCTCTGCCACGGGCAGGGACACCTTCCACTAGAGCAAGTTGCTCCAAGCCTCTGTGTCCAACCTGTCCTTGAACACTGCCAGGGATGGGGCAGCCACAGCTTCTCTTGGCAACCTTTACCAGTGCCTCACCACCCTCACAGGAAGACCTTCCTAAGATCTAATCTGAATCTCCCTTCTTTCAGTTCAAATTAAACTCTAATTAAGCATCTGCAGATGAGATCACTGCTCTGGGTTGCAGTGCTTCACATGTTTGCAACATAGCATAAATGTGAAAAAGGGATAGAGAAAAGCAGGATTCTCTTGTAATAAAGGGCAGCACCAAAACACCTAATGATGTGGTCAGAGCCTCCTGCAAGTCTGTGCCAGAGCTGCCAGTGAAACTCATTCTAGTAAATGCACTTGCCAATCTGCCTTTTTCAGTGCTCTTGGTTTTGGAATAGAAGCATTGTTAGGTTTAACAACTGAATGGGGAGCTTGCTCCCTGATTATTGTGCTGCTTCTGAAAAACAGTAGGAAATCAAATATTATTCAGCTGTCTCGGAGGAAAAAATCTCATGGGAAATGCTGAAAAAGGTTAGAAAACTCTGAAACAAAGGGGTCAAAAGGGAGCTCTGGATCAAGCCTCTGTTTCATTTTCTGCTTCTTGCCTTCTCTGATACTAGTCCCTACTCTGCTGAATAGTTTCACTGTGGACAAGAGGATTGCTTGCAGAATCAGCTGCTACCAGTATGTGCTTATAGGTGTCTGAAGATGACCTTTACCCAAAACGCTTCTGTGCAGAAGCGCTTTGCAGTCCTCTGTTGGAAGTTCACAATGCTGATGTTGTTTCAGTATGTCATTTGTTGGCATCAGTAGGGTGTCCTTTTGCCAACATCTTTTGTGCGTGTTTGGCTTCACTTACATAGCCACTAAAAGTGAATCCAGGCACAAACCTCTTTCTGTAAAGCAGGAGCTCAGACTTCCACCATTGTCTTTTCTTGGAGTTTGACAGATTGAAGTCACCAGGTGCTTGTCAAAAGAGGGATCTGGCAGGTCAAGGTTAAAATGCTTTGCAATCAGACCACTTAATGCTCTTTTTTACCTTCACAGGAGGCCTCCTCATCTGTTTACCACGAGAACAGGCAGCACGTTTCTGTGCAGAGATCAAGTCCCCAAAGTACGGCGAAGGCCACCAAGCATGGATCATTGGCATCGTAGAGAAGGGCAACCGCACGGCGCGGATCATTGACAAGCCTCGGATCATCGAAGTTGCGCCTCAGGTGGCCACTCAGAACGTGAATCCCACGCCCGGTGCCACCTCTTAATGTAGATGAAATGGCTGTTTTGTTTTTAAATAGATCTATTCCTTTATCATCCTACAATTTAAAGAACTGTAAAGAGAAAACTTGTTGTGTCTGCACATCTGGTGGCCTTCGGTCAGTTTATGAGTGGATACAATTAATGAAATAAAATCCATTGCCTTTTTTTCCTGTTACATTAACTGAAGATGCACCTAATCTTGAGGCAGCTTCTGAGTTGAGAATTATATTGTTATCCAATACTGTTGATTCATTTTGAATCTTTAGACACTTATCTCTTGCCGCATAGGCTCTTTTTAAAGGTGCTTTCACGTAGCACAGACATTACCAGTAGTAGTGTCAAATAGCAGTTTGTGTCCTTTCATTATATGTATATTTATCATAAGTCTAATTTTGATGCCTTGAGTGATATTCCAGAAAGGCAATAAATTGAGAAGTGACACCATGGGTATACCCAGTAGAAAGAAGGTTGCATGATTACATTCAATCTTTGATTTTTATTTCTATTTCTTTTGGGTTTTGTTGGTGGTGTTCCTTAAGGTTTAGTCTTACCAAGAACATCCACAACCCTGGACATTGCTTGGTAGTGCACTCTCTTTAAACCAGCAAGTGCTGACTTTGCATGGATAGCACTTCAGAGTAGAAGGAGTCAATTTCTAACTTTATTATTTGTAGACCTGACAATATTTACTGTATTATCAATGATTTTTTTCTTTCTTGAGAGTATGGAAAAAATAATTCTTTCTTTCTTTTGCAATGTGATTGGATGTGCTATAGTGCAACAAAGGTTTTTGCAGACCAAAAGGAGGTTCCTGTATAATATTCATTTACAAGTCGCTATATAAATAACTACACAAATAATTTTTAAATATAATCAAACTAAAATAAACCTCTGTTCTGTGGATGGTAGTGTTTAATACATTTTATATTTTGTATAGTGATTACCAGCCTTCTTTTTTTTTTTGTTCTTCCTTTAAAATCAGCAGCTGTTTAGTATAATTCCTTAGTATTATTTTGTTCTTTGCTCAGATACATTTTTCTGCACGCTTTTTGTGATCTGTGTTTAAAATCTACATTGCCAACATTGCAGCTTGGACTTCAGCTTGTTATTCAAAATAAATATTTAATTTTTTTTATTGCTCTTGTAGATGTGCATCAACTTTTTTGCTTCCTACCTGAATGACAGACTGGAAAGAGGAGAGCTCCTCAGGGGGTTTATTTGATTGCAAGTGTAATTATATTGATAGTTGTTCTTTCTCCTTTGATCACGTCTGCAAGCTGTGATGGCCAGTGGTAATCTGGAGTATCTCCCTCCTGCATACCAGAGCTGGGGACAAGCAGGTTATTTCCAAGTATACTATCTATTTGGTTAGCACAAAGCATGCGGTGGTTCTGAATTGTTTCTTCTGCCAGACAAGGGGTTGAGAGTAGCCCTGGGAGTGGAAATGATGCTGAAACCCAGCTTTCCCCAACAGCAAGAGGATCTTAGATAATGGTTACTGGTACCAGCAAGAGTTACAAGGGCTTCTGTCTGTGAAAAGTGAGTCACTAGAGATGAGCCAGTCCAGACATTGAGCAAGGTTCCCAGCTCCAGTCTTGCTCCTGTGACAACTGGCAAACATGGCTCATCTCTCTTCCACTAGTTGTGTTCTCAGCAGGTATCCCTTGCAAAACTAGATTTCATTTTATTCTTCCCCTACTTTGTGAGTAGCCTAAACCACACAGAGCCTCGTGCTCCTGAAGAAGACAACTTCCCAAAACCTCAAAGCCGTAACTGAGTTTTTGGCTTTGCTTTGGAGAAAGTTTTTTCACAGCAGTTCTGAAAATAAAGCCTCACAAACCAGTTGTCTGTGCAAAAGATACTGATTTTAATACCTTTTTTCTCCCATTTTTGAAGTGTGTTCTGTATCATGATACGAAATAGTGGAGCTGGCTTCTGTTTGTTTTCTTTGTGGTCAAGATTGCTAGTACACAGGTCATTTTATTAGATTAAAAAAGCAAAACAGTTGGGTACTTACGTGTGAAAGTGCTTGTTACAAACCTGTTGTATTTTAAACTGGTGCTAGCTGCAAGTTCACCCTCAGCAGAAAATCATACTAGTTGGTGGATATTGGTGTTTTTCTCATGCTTAGTTTATCACCCAGGTGTGAAACCAACACTGCTCCTTCCCCAGATGGGCCTTGATTAGTGGAAGGTTCATCGCTGGGAGGAAGGAAGGCTGCTTTTTCAACAAGGTGAAATGAAATTCACAGCCTTGGCACCAACCTTTCTAGCAGGAGCTGTTTGGACTTCCAGAGGAACACTTCCATTTGCAGTGGCTGGAGTCAGCCATGAGCAAAACCCCTCTCAGGTGAGCGGATGGTGGAAGCCTCTCCTGATGTTTCCTGATGACTGGAATTTACATCCCAAAGTGCTTCCTGGCTTGGCAGGCTGGTGATAATTGAGTTGGGAAGCCCTGTTAGCATCACATCAGCTGTTCAGGAGTGTGGTCATTTGTATAAGCGATTTATGATTTGTTTTGCTAAGTAAGAGTTGTAGATAAAGCATAAACTGTAGGAAGGCACAGTTTGGGCTAGCAGGTCCAAAGTTGTGTATCTTTAAATTGAGACAAGGAGGCACAAAAGCACAAAATGTAATCAGTTCTAAGCAATGTTAAGTGTGATGGCTTTGTAATGGAAAATAACTGCGGTGCTTGCAGGCAGTTGACATCGTTTCAGGTCCCTAGGACCTTAGTACAAAAGGTGTACAGAAAAGCAGAATAGAAAAACAGGATTTGGGGATGGGGAATATCTGGGACTAGCAGATGTCCAGGGTGGGCACCATTAAACTAACTCATAAGTAAAAGGACAGGATGATTGCTATGTTTGGGGTGTTAATAAACCCATTAAGCTGGTGTAAGCACCTATCAGGGAGTATCCGGGACTAGCAGATGTCCAGGATGAGTGCAGTTAAACTAACTGATAAGTAGAAGGACAGGGTGATTGCTATGTCTGTAATATTAATTAAGCTGGTTATGAACATTGTTGAGAAAAACGACCTTTAAAGACCACCATCACATTTCTGTATGCATGCCGGAAACTTTGGAAAATGATGTAATATGCTCAGTGACCATATAAGGATGACCTGTATAGCAATTCGGGGACGCACGTTAGGAGGAGCTATCCCCCGTGTCTCCCGGCGCCGCAATAAAGAATACCTGCTTGTCAACTTGAAACTCTGTTGGCGAGTTTGTCCCTGGAGTTTTCTCCGAATCAAAGTGTGGATCTTAAAGATCTCCTTTTAAACAGTTATTTAAGATTCTGGCATCAAAAAGCCATAACAAAGCAGCAGAGAAGAGTTGTTTGACCTCTCTTCAGTCATTGACATAAATGTCATGTACTGTTGTTTGCTCACACAGGTACCTCTGCATGCACCAGCTTCTATCCCTCAGTATGAGGAGACTGCTTGCAAAACTGCATCGAAGTTGTGAGGAGAGTGGAGATTAAAGACTTTTAACAATTGGAATATCCACCAGCCTAATCAACAAGTTTAATAAGTAGTAGATGTTCTTGAAAAGCCGGTATCTGTTCTAATGTGATCTAGTTGAAGATGTCCCTGCCCACTGAACGGGGGGGGGGGGGGGGGCGTGTTTGGACTTGAAGGTCTCTTCCAACCCAAACATGATTCGAATATGGTGGTTTCCTCAGCCTTTTGCTTCCCCCCTTGCATCAGGAAGGAATAACACTTTATCTGTGGCAGTATATAAAGTCCAAGGAGTTTTAGCCTTTCCTTTTTAGATGTTATTTTGAGCTCATGTTTGGCTACAAATTCAGGACTGACCTTTTTCTTCTTAATGATACAAAAACTACTGTGAATGCTGCAATGAGAGGGCAGCAAACCTGAGTGGGTGAGGGGGGGACAGATGGGCACCATGGCCAACCTGTGCTGTACTGATTTGTTACTGAATGTCTGGTAAACAGGCTGGAAGAGACCTTGGCGTGCATCTGCACGCTGACCACAGGATGTGATTGGGAATCTCTGTGGCTGGTGCTTGAAGAGGAGAAAGGTAACAAAATACCTTCTTACTTGGCTTTTGGACAGGAATTTTCCCAAGGCTGGTGGTCAGGAGGGGGAATACCTAAAGGGGGCCTATGAGAAACCTGGAGAGGGACTTTTTGCAAGGGCAGGTAGTGACAAGACAAGGGGGAATGGCTTTATACTGAAAGAGAGGAGACTTAAATTAGATATTAAGAAGCAGCTCTTCCCTGTGAGGTTGGTGAGGGGCTGGCACAGGGTGCCCAGAGAAGCTGTGGCTGCCCCATCCCTGGCAGTGTTCAAGGCCAGGTTGGACACTGGGGCTTGGAGCAACCTGCTCTAGTGGAAGGTGTCCCTGCCAGTGGCAGGGGGGTGCAACTGGATGAGCTTTAAGGTCCCTTCCAGTCCAAACCAGTCTGTAATTCTATGAGAAAGGAATCCCTTCTGGGAGCCTCAGGACCTCAACAAAGCAACATCTCTGTGAAGGAGGCTTCCACACATTAGGTATCTAAGCTGGAATTGCAAGACCAAACCACTAAGGAAAAACTTGGGTATTTTTAAGCTTTTGATGCTCAGAGCTGGCTATGATGGCTCCAGCCATCTCTGGCACTTGTGAAGCTGTCTGTGTCCATAGGAGTATGTTGGACCCACAGATCAGAGGTGAGGGACCACTGTAGCCCTAAGACCCCATTTCCCATGCTGGGGAGAGGGAAGCCAGGTTGCAGCATCTCAGGAGCTGCACAGGGGTTGCCCAAACCCTGAGATTCAGGAGAGGCCAGGAGCCAGAGGTAGGACTTTGCTTTCGTGAAAGGCAGTGCTGCTCGACTTGTCTCTCAACACATCATGTATCCTCTGCTTGCAGTGTCTCAACTGGCTTTAATCAGGCTTGCTCTGCTTCCAGCAGCAGCATTTAAACTTCAGCACAGGCTTTGCTGCTCCAGACATATTTAAGCTAATGCTGATATTACAACCACTGCTGTTTTGTGCCTTTTCTTGCAATGTTGACATATTTGCTGTTGTGTCTTTCTAAGGCACGAGAAAGCTGCTGCCCCACATCTCCAACCATCAGAGAAGGCAAAATCATAACAACAGAAGAATGCTCTTGAGACTCCCAAGGTAAAAATAGATTTGTCTTCAGATGCACGTTCCCTATGTAGTAGGTCACCTGGGGGATGCTCCTACCACTGTAACTGAACTCACAGAACAATTTGACTTAGAACAGATGTCTTGCAGTCTCCTGGTCCAAAGCAGGGACAATCCTGAAGTGAAATTAGGTTGCTCAGGCCTGTGTGCTGTCAGGCTTTGAATACCTCCAAAGACAGGGATTTCAGTCTCTCTGAACCCCTTGTTTCAATGCTGGCCTTCCCATTCCTGCAGGATTTATATCTAACAGGGTATTTTCTTACTGCAATTTGTGCCCATTGTCTCTCAATTTTGCTGTAAGCTTTCAAGAAGACTGTGGCTATCTTCTCTGTTTCTCCCCATCAGCTACTAGCAGGTAGCTGTAGGATCTCCCTGGAGCCTCCTCTTCAAGCTGAGCTATTTTCTCAGCCTTTCCTTGAGTACCATGTGCTTCAGCCCCCTCATTTTAGTGGCTCTCCACTGAACTCACTCTAGGATGTCAGCGTCTGTGCTGGGGAGCCCCAAACTAGACCAGATGTAATTGCACAAACTGCCTTATAGGAGGGAAGAACCACTTCCCTTGACACTGTGGCCACACTCTTGTCCATGCAGCCCAACACACAGCCAGCCCTTTTCCTCACAAGCACACACCACTTGCTCATTTTCAACTTGTCCATCGAGTACTTTCTTGCAAAACAGCTTTGGAGGCAGGCAGGACCCAGCTTGTCCTGCAGCACAGAGGTGTTCCATGCCAGGTAAAGCACTCTGCTGAACTTCCAGGGGGTTCTGCTGAGGTCCCTCCAGCCATCAGGATGGCTCCCCCAGCTTCCTGAGGATTCATTCTTGTCCAGGTCAGTAACAGAGATGTAAACCAGCATCAGTTCTGCTACTGAATGCTGAGAGATGCAACTAGTAACCAAGTGCACTTCATACTGCTCATCACAGCCCTTTCTGTCCCAAGAAGTCTTCCCAAGGTCAAGATGCAGGCTGCTTGTTGCTCTACTCTAATCCACAGTCATTCCATCACAGAAGGTGAGGAGACTGGCCAGGCCCAATTTGCTTTGGTAAATCTGTGCTGGCTGTTCCAAATCATGTTGTCCTTGGTAAACATAGACACAGTAAATCCAGGAGGGTTTACTGGACTGTCTTCTAGGAGACAGGTTGAGAAAGATCCTTCTTTTACCCCCCTTGTGAAAACAGGTATGATATTTGCCTCTTCCCAGTCATTAGAAACCTTTTCTGGTACCAGGGAAGACACAGCAGCTTTGCAGTCACGTTGCCTCCTACAGATAAAGCCCACATGGTCCCATGGGCTTGAGAATGCCCATCCTGCTTCAGTGGTCTCTAGCTTAGTCTGCTGTAGTGTGGGTGATGCTCTGTGGCCCCAAATCCTACTGCTCAGCACAGGGAAGCCAAATAACAGACCAGACCAGCACAGCCCAAGGCAGAGAAGCCATCGAGACCATTGACCTTTTCCATGTCCTTTGTCCCGACATCCCCCTATTTTGTTCTTCATTGTGTCTGCACTTTCCTTTGCCTCTTCTTAGCTGCTAATGTATCTGTAGAAGTCCTTCTTGAATCTTCTGGTGATGAGAAGTGAACCTGTGCATTGGTGGTGGATTTTGTTGTTATTGTCTCATCTACATCTGTTTTTGCTGGCATCTGAGTTGAAAAAGCTAATTTTGCTGGGTTGGAGCAGCTGCCACTTCCCACCACAGTAAATTAAGCTTTCCAAAGGCCTCATCTTTGGAATTACAGTTCCGATCATAATGTGGGTTTTAACAGTCAATTGAGATGCTTATTAAATTATAACACTGTGCATTAGGACCATTCCTGTACTGCTGGAGAAATCTCAATCATTTAGGTTTTATTAGTTTTGTGATTTAATGAACAGAAAACATTAAAAGCCAAATGCAAAACAGCTGTATAAAAACGTTCCATAAAATTCAGGAAACCAACAGACATAGCTGTAAAAGTACTTTGCAGAGGCACAGCCCCTCTTCAATGCCATTAATTTTAATAAAAGGATGAATGCCACCATCAGTTTTCATAATGAAGAAAATCTCTCCCTTGTTTCTTTTCCTAGGTTCATGAGATTCAGTCTGTACTTGAGTGAAGCTTACCAATGGACTGGAAAAATTGCTCTGGACTGGTTTGGGTCCGCATGCTTCTCTGTTTAGAGTACACGGCTACACCACGACGAGCCGTCGTGCTGCTGATGCTACTGTGTGGTTCTTAGCGCTGCAGCCTTGAGTGATGCCAGCAAGACCTGACATCAGTCTTTTATTGTATTGAAGTCTGATCATGGTCTTTATGAGTGTGAGGGCACCATAATCACCCACTTCTCCACGCCAAGGTGGAGGAGGTATCCTGTATTATTTAGCAGTTTGATGTGACACGGTGGTCCAGTGACACTGCACAAGCCAGTATTACCAGGTCTTACCAGCAGTATTATCAAGATTACCAGAGCAGCAGTAAGTAAAAAGGAATAATTGTATTCAGTGCACAGATTAGCTTTTTGAGGTTGCTCTTGTTGGAAAATTTATATATATGTCTATGTAAATATGTATTATGTATGTATAAAAAGCATCTTAGTTCTCAAACTCCTAAATCAAGACAGCAGAGTCACTAAGCACTTCTTATTTATTTTTCCCAGGTATCAAAGACACCTTTGCATAAGATGCTGTCAAACATGTACCAGTGGAAGAAATATCTACATTGCAAACAGGTCGGTGTCAGAACTGGTGTGTGTAACATTGTTCTGCTTTATCTTTTGAATGGAAATCTCACCTGGCTTTTGAAACAGATGAAGATTTATTGAGGTTTCTCTTTCAGTTTGGATTGTGAAGCCAATTGCAGCATATATCTGAATTACAAAGAGACCTTTCAGTGCAGTTCTAATTAGGACTTTGGTAATAAAACTGTTGTTCTGGTTGCTCTCCCCTCACTTGCATTTGACTTGACTTTTAATAACTTTGTTTACCTGTAACTAAGAGTTTTCCTATAGCTCTGGAGTCAAAGGTCTGATTTCGTTGGCAATAAAGGGCTGGTCCTGCCACTGCTGCTACTTCTGAGTACACAGAATGGTTTTGAGAGGTTTTTGTCTGGGTTCCTTACCTTGTTTGTCCCACTCTTGTGAACAGACCACGTTTTGTTGTAGCCCCCAAGGATGAGACTCCACTGAGCACACACGGAACTGCTGCCTATGGGAGCCATAAATATGGACGTACCCCGGTCCAGGCAGCTGCCACAAATAGAGTAGGTAAACCTGCTCTGGTACATCTTTACTTAAATCATTGGGAGTTTTGCTGCTGAGTTTTAAAGGAAATCAGCTTTTAAGATACAGGTTAAGTTCAGAAGCACTTCCTATCCATGCCTTGGCTTCTGTTTATCTGTAGCACCAACACAAAGCTTAGTATATTGACAGCTGACATCAACATGTCGCCTTGGGTTCCAGAAAAACCTGCTGCAAAATGCAGTTAAGCTTCCTGAAGTATCTGTGATGTAAAGATCTGGTGTACACCCTGTAATCATCAGACTGCCTGGAGCAACAGGGGATTTGCTCTTTGTGGTGCATCTTTGGGAGCAGGGCCTGGCTGGATCACTCAGGAGCAAGCAGTTTATGAACAAACCATGAGGATCTATGTGCATATACTGGGTTGGCAAAATAATGCAGATTCTCAGCATAACTCACCTCCAGTCCTGATGCTGCTCTCTAGCTTATTATAGGGTATTTGTTACTGGATTTGCTGCCCTCAGTTTACCACTAGTCTCTCATCCAGATCCCCAACTTCTCCATCTCCTGGGAGAGCGCCTGCAAGGCTGGATGTGGAGCAGGCAGCACAATGTCTTCCTCCCACCTTCACCCTCCTCAGAGCTGTTACCTCTGTCCCCACCTCCCTGCTCTGTCCTGCTCAGAGATGAATCCCCTTGGCCAGGACAGCAGATTCCATCAGGGAATACCTGATCTTCAGCAGCATCTGCTTTGCACAGGGCTGGAGGGGATGAATGACCATCACACCAATGGCACAAGCCAGCCTGAACCATGACACAGGGGGCCTGAAGTCCACTTTGCAGAAGGTGTGAGGCTCTGTGGTGCAGCAGCAAGAGGGAGACATGCAGAGATGATGCAAACCATTTTCGTAACTGTGCTGCAGGCCCTGGAGCTGTGTTCAGTTCCTTAATATCCTTCTCTTCACGTGTCAGTCAATGCACTCATGGAGTTAATTAATGCAGATGAGAGTGTGCTAAGGACAGTGTATGCTGAATACACTTGTAAGTGTATTCCAGCTTCAGAGGAATACCAAGCCGCTATAAAGTTTGTTCTTTCCAGTGGCTGTTTGTAGCTCCCCATTTTTTATGCTGCTTCCCATTCTCCTTACACCAGGTTTTCCACCCCTGAGTGTTTTTTTTTTCTTCCTCCCCAGTGCACTGTGACTCCTGAGTCCTTTTGCTCCTTCTCTTCTCACTGGAAAGCACCAGAGCTGTCCCAGAAGGCTGGACAGAAATGCCACCCAGCACAACACCCTGTATGTGGATTTAATTCCTGATCTCCATCAGTGCAAAACACACTCTGCCACCCTATCAGGGTGACAGCGGGGCCATAAAGAACGCCCCAAAGTGATTAATGGAGGGATGAGGCAAGCTCTGACAGTCTCCTTAGAGACAGGAGATAAAGAGATACGGGATGTGAGCCTCAGCCGTGCCCTGTGCTCATGGGAGCGCCTTCCCACAGGCCGGATGGAAGTGCCCCACCACAGGCACTGCTGTCAGAGAGGGGGAAGCCCCGGGTAGGGGCTGGGCGGTGCTAGGCCATGCTCTGAGCCTTCCCCACGTAGCCCCAGCCTCCGCCTGCCCTCCCGGCCGCAACCCCGCCGGCCTCCCGTGGAGCTCTGAGCATGCGCAGCTGCCGGCGCATGTGCAGCAGGGGCTAAAGGCGCCGACGGGGCTCTGTTGCTGCCCGGCTGCGCTCCTAAGGTGAGGCTGGGCACCGGGCTGGGGCAGCCCCGGCGCGATGGAACGGGTCCGGAGGCGGTCGGCGGCTCGGCTGGATGCCATCCTCCGGCACCTCAACCCGCGGGTGGGAGCAGCCCCTGCTCCTGTATCCTTTATGATGTGGGAGCGGGGCGGGGGCATGGTGGGCCTGTGGCGGTCAGGGCTGTACGTCCGCAGCCCCAGTGACTCCCAGCACCTTGCCTGTGTGTGCGGGGAGGGGTTCTGTGGTGGTGTGTCCTTCAAGGACAGCCTGCCTGGGAAGGAGGCGCCACTTATCCCTACGGTTATAGGGTGGTGACTTGCGGGGGGGGGGCATGTCCCACACAGCCTCTCAGCAAGCAGGGATGCACTAGGGCAGCGCTTCCCCATCACCCCTGACAGGTGCTTTGAGTTCAGCACCCATCCCACCCCAAAAACCTCTTTGTCTCTGACCTTCAGCCCTGCAACCGGCTGGGTGCTGGGAATTGCATCTGATGAACCACCCGTGGCACATATCTGCCAGCACGGAGCAGGGGGGTTTCCTGCAGAGGATTCTTCTGGAGGTTTGGGGGTGATAGACTCTGCAAGGCTTAGCAGCTGAACAGCAAGCCTCAGCCTCTGTTGGGAGGTACGGACTCGACTGGTAGCCCAGCAGCAGGAGAAACATCAGGGTTTGCTTTGTGAGTGGGAAATGGGGTGGAAGTGTTGGAGACTGGCAGCTTTATGATAGACCACAGAAAGGAAACCAGGGCAGAAATAAGTTTTCATGTTGATCTGTCCCATGTGTCCACAAGTTAAATAAGGGCTGTGTGCGGGTGGTGTTTTTAAAGTTATTGCCTTAAATGTTGCTTTTTTAAAACATAAAAAATGTTTAAATGCTGCTGATTCTCAGTGAGAGCTGAGTGCTGACAAGTTTCATCTGAATTACACTAAATTGGCAAAAAGGATGGGATCAAACAGGATGTAGGAGTCTTCAGATCTATTGAAAACTAAGAAGACGGATGGCAGTGACTCACACTGCTGTAAGGCAAAGGTGCAAGTGGGAGCATAACATCGGAAATAAATGAAGGAAAATGTTATGGTTTAACCCCAGCTGGGAACTAAGTACCAGACAGCCTTGTTGTAAAGAAGGAGAGGCACTGCCCAAGGTGTTTTGGCTTTAAATCCAGCTGCAGTGGTCCTGATGTAAAGAGATTTGGACAAAAACAGAACTAAGCTGGGCTGGAGCAAGAAAGGCATGTGGATAAAGTAAATGGCAGAATCTAATAATATGTTTATTTGATATAACTTAAACAGGGGAAGTTTAGATTGGATATAAGGAGGAAGCTCTTTACTGTGAGGGTGGTGAGGCACTGGAATGGGTTGCCTCATGAAACTGTGAATGCTCCATGCCTGGTGGTGTTCAAGGCCAGATTGGACAGAGCCTTGGGTGACATGGTTTAGTGTGAGGTGTCCCTGCCCATGGCAGGGGGGTTGGAACTGGATGATCTTAAAGTCCTTTCCAACCTTAACTATTCTATGATTCTGTGATACATGTTACATCAGGGCACTGATTTTGTCTTTACCAAAATGAGCTACCAGAGATGGCAGCTGCTTCCCAGTCTGTGTACCTCTTGTTTTCAGTTGTCCAAGCAACCCAGACTTATCCTTTGAGTGTTGTAAGATGGAAAGAGCAAAAACAGTGAGAGGAAGAGGTGCTGCAAAGCCCAGGAGGAAGGTGTTCAATGGAGCCCAGCTCTTCGTGGGGGGGATTGTCTGTTATATCCCTCTTTGAGGAAATGGAGGTTGAACCACAGCTGGGGTTCAGCCAGTGCCTGTGTCTCCATCTGCTGCCTGTGGACGTTTAGGAGTCTGAATCCCATGAGTCCCATGCCAGGCCAGAAGTTCCATCTGCACTGAAATTGGACCTGAAATATGGTGTGTGGAGCAGCAGTGCCCTCAGTTGGGGAATCCCTTGCTTTGGGACTCGCTGTGGTGGTTTCCACCTTGTCTCACCATGTCCTCTTCCTTCCCACTCTCTTCCATCTAGTTGTCAGCAGTTTTTCCTCCCTCTAGCTCATCATTTTTGCTACACGTGTTGTGTTTCTTCTCCCACTGTGTGTGACTCCGGACCAGCCAACATTTAAGCTTCCTGGGGTAGGAACCACAGACGCAACTGTTGTGATGAAACCTATTCCAGAAGCATGCCTGATTTATGGCATGTTTAAAAGGTAGTGGTAAGCAGTAGAGGAAAGTCTTTGGTTTACATAAAACCCGAAGCACAGGGGTCTCCAAACATGTGCATGCCTGAAGATGCTCTTTTTTGTCCTTGTACCTGAGTGATGCTTCAACCCCATGCACAAACCTCTTGTGAGGCTCCATTAACAAGTGGGATTTAATTGCTCTGTCAAGGAGAACACCTCTCTTTGCATAGGAGAACACAATTGTGTGTATTTAAAACCTATTGAAATTAATTGAGGGTGATGACAAGCCCATAGCTCTCCTCTTGGTGCTGTCCATGTCAAGTCTGGGAGGGACCTAATCTCTGCAGTAAGTGAAGAGAAGGTGAGGTTTTGCACCACCCCATAGGAATTTGAAGTTCCAAGTTCACCCCATGTGGCTTCTGGCTCTGATTTTAGGAGGGCAGAGGCAGGCAGTGCAGGTTTTGGGTAGGTCTGGCTGCTCTCTGGAGCATAGGGAGGTGAACTGGGCAAGTAAACATCTCCACTGAGCATCTCATTGGGTGTCTTGACATTCTGAGTGATGAATCAAGGCATGTGGAGTACTCTGGAGTCTCAGGCATTTTATACTGACTTTTCTTTATGTGGGGACAAGACTTCTATACTGTTACTTTATGCTTCTCTGCCAGACCTGCTACTCCAAAGGTGGGAAAGACTGTTAGAAGCAAAATAGACAAGAGCATGAATTGCATGTCCAGCACAGCACTCATCTTAACGCACTGCAGGATTCAGGATGCATGTGTAGCTGTTTTTCTGCTCCGTAGTGCTTGAATATATATTCCTTAATTTCCATCCCAGACAAGCGTTCCTACTTCAGCCCAAGTGAGTGCAGTTACTGAACCAGGGAGGTTTTGGTAAGCTGAATCTTTTTTCGTAGAGATTAAAAAGAAATACGACCTGTAGAACTCAATCCTTTTTTCCATGCCAGCACATGTGTTGATCACCAGACATTGTGTAGTCTTTTGTATCTTGCAAGGGTATAATCTCCTTTGTTTAATAAAGAAGCTCAACCATTCGTCTTGAAAATGTCTGCATGGACAGTGTGACTCCAGAGGCTGTTCCCATGTGCTTCAGAATCTCTGTTGAGAGTAAAGGCTGCTGAGGACCGAGCCCAGCTTTGGGAGGGTGCACAGGGGATGCTTTGAATCCTGTCGCAGACATGGCGGGAGGCTTTGTGCAGAGATGCTGCACAGCCATGGACACACCATGCTAGAGCATGGGGAATGCTACAGGCCTGAAGAGCTGAGGTCGACATGGAGATGTGAAGAATTTCCCACTGATTCTCCCCAGCAGCTTCTAATCCCCCACGTCACCATCTTCCTGCCAGGTCTCACCAACGTTGCTCCTGTTCTGCCCTACTAATGTGTTTCTCCTCTGTGTCTCAGCTATACCCTGGACAATGATGTCCTCACCACAGAGCAGAGGCAGTTCTATGAAGACAGTGGGTATCTGCTCATTAAGAAGCTCGTTTCTGATGAAGACATTGAGCGCTTCAGGTATGGGGTACTCACTGAAGGCACTGCGGGTTCCTGAGTGCAGCAGCATCCGGAGGGAGCTCTGGGAATCTGAAAGAAGCTGGACTCTCCCGTCATGGACATTCCCTCTGCTTTGCAGGAAGGAGTTCATGAGGATTTGTAGAAGGGAGGTGAATCCACCAGGAGCTATGATTATGAAAGATGAGTCCTTGAGATCCCAGTATGGTCAGTCTGAAAAAGTGGTTAATAAAGTGCAGGACTTCCAGGAGGATGAAGAGTTGTTCAGATACTGTACTCTGCCAGAGGTAACACTAAAAAGTAACCACAAAAAGGGGGATGATGGTGGAAGAGCCTATATGGATGTATCTATGTTCTAATGCCAGTGTGAAGAAGCTGATTTTTGGTTCCGCTAAAGCTATATCCTTTATCCCTTAGAGCCCCTTTATGTCACTCCTAAGGAAGGAATATCATTCCATCTTTTAAGAGTGTTCTGCATGAGCATGGCATGGATGGACTTTGGTCAGGGCATATGTAAAGCAGTGCTCCTCAGTTCATACGTTGCGGAGACAGTCAGGAATGTGAGAGCCCAAACCATGCTGGTCTATGGACAGAACAGCGGCGCTTTCTGAATGTCTTTTATCCAGGCAGTTCACCGGCTCTCTGGGCAGGTCCAGCTTTGCAGCCAATGCTCATGTTATGGCAGACAGCCACAGTAGCTTTGTGGAAGTATGACCCTCCCCATCTCTTCAAGCCCCCACCCAGCAGCCTGCTGCACCATCTCCTACCACCATGCCCATTCATGTGCTATGCCTGATTCTGCCTCCTGTCCTGCATCCCCCTATCCCAACCTCCTCCTGTACCCTAGTAAACATCCAGGTCCCAGTGCTTCCTGAGCAATCTTTCCTCTTGTCTTCATGCTTCTAATATCTATATTCTTAATGTTTTCTTCCCTGTAGGTCCTCAAATATGTTGAGTGCTTCACAGGACCAAACATCATGGCAATGCACACCATGCTGATAAATAAACTTCCAGATTCTGGTAAGGAAAACTTGGATAAGAGGAAAATAGAGATACTACTGTGCTGTCTACCCGGCTAAGATTTAACTTAGTGGTTTAGAAAAGCTGTTTGAAAAAATAAGTGAGACAAATCAAAACCAAGTAACTGAATATTTATGAAGCCACTTTGTTAACTGTTTTCTTTTGACCATGGCTAAATGCGATGAAGTGTCTTGTCTTTCAATGTTTAGTGGATGTTTGCCGAAGATGGTGGTTGTCTTGGATGTCTTTAAACACTCACATGTTCAAAGTGAGCAAGCAAGCTCTCTGTTGTTCTTTATGTAAGCACAGCTGGCTCAGGGTTTAAAACATGGCGTGGTTTTAAGCTTATGAACTTATTATCATTAACTTTTCATTAACATTTTCAAATGTGTTGAAAATGAGAGCTCCTGTGGACCTTGGTGAATAGAGATAACTACAGAGATCATCCATTGCTTGGAGTTTGTATGCTCCTGATCTCACTGACAGTGGGTGCAAGCTCAGCACTTCGATAGGAAGATACCTGAATAGGTGCCAAACAAAGGAACTTGAAGCCAAGCTCGTGCTGCTGAAAACAGATCATCATTCGTGCAGGGGTGGTGGGCAGGGAGAGGACGAGAACTGGACTGACCATGTTACAGTTCTTCAAATGAGCTTTAACTCTGCATAAGCTGCTTTGGTTTAGCAAAATTGAGACCTGAGCCTCAGGTTATTACTTTTAAGGTGTTTCTTCTCATGTGTGCAGCTTCTGAGCAGGTACATAACACTTGAGTTATTGAAACACTGACTTGTTCACGTCATCTCCACTTGGCATCTTAAATGCCTCACAGAAAGCTGTCATTTTGGCTTGGAAATTCAACAAAAGACTGTGGATTTTTAACGTAAAAACAAAAAATTAATGGACAAGAGAAGGGAAGCTGCTCTGTATTTGCAAGGTCTCCATGCAGTATCTTTGAGGAGTACTTTAGGAGAGGTGCAGATCTCAGGAGAGTTTTTGAGGCAAGTAAGGCCAGTGGAAACATCCTCACTATATCTATTTGAGCAGCAAACTCAATGGCAAAATAAATAATAGCTATAAAAGGCTGTTTTGGTGTGGATGATGTTTCCATTTCCATAGAGGGAAAAGAAGTAACAGAAAGACTTTCACAAGTATTTATGCTTGTTTAGACTTTAGGGAACAAAGCCTCTAGAGCAAAGGCTAATGGATTGCTGATAGACTGTCTGGGGAGGCTGCAGTCCATAAATTGAGATTTATTTTCTTAAATGAAGGCTAAATAAATATGTGTTGGGTGCAGCAAAGACTGGGCTGGTGCCGCTTGCAACACAGCCATAGATCAAGTGACTGCAGACAGCAACGGCTCTTTGGAAGTCCTTGTGCTGGAAAGGTTTGTGCAATGCTGTGCTGGTTAAAGTCCACATAGCTGGGGAGCAGCCAAAGGGAATGGTGAAAACTTGGCAGGGGGTGGCAATGATGGCCAGCAAAAGGAGTCTTCTGTGGGATCATGCAGCCTTCTGGTATTCACTGTGTCCTCATTGCTGTCCCAAGAGCTGCTACCGTGCTCCTTGTCCTTAGGATAGGTTTAAGCTAACCCATTTGGCTTCCATGGTGTACTGGTGTAGACCCTGAGTACATAAAATCTCTCCAATGTCAAGCAGCAGCTTCTTAGGACACATTACAACAATGGTTTTAATGGGAAGGAAAAGGCTGTGTCATGTTTGATGAGGTTAAAGGTTTTGAACCTGTGTTGCAGATAAACAGACTTTTCTCCACCCTATGCATCAGGACTTGCACTACTTCCCCTTCCGGCCCGCGGCCCGCATCGTGTGCTCCTGGACCGCCATGGAGAGGGCAGACCAGAGCAATGGCTGCCTGGTCGTGCAGCCAGGGACACATAAGATGCCCCTGAAGCCTCATGGCTATCCAAAGCAGGTAGAGCAGCACAGGGGGCTTGGGGAAGGTGTGCATGAGGGGATGGGAGAGCTCACCCTGGAGGGGTGATGGTCAAAGCTGGGGTTTTCAGTGATGGATCCTCTTTATGCAAACACTGACTTGAAGCTTTGGGTGTGAGTTGCTTGGCTGGCATCGCTCCATGTAACCTGGGTAGATTTGCATCTGCTCCCACCTTTGTGTGTGTCACGGCATAATGGCATAGACACACAAGTCTGAGGACTCTGTCCTCCTGTGAACTGCTGCCTGGTAGCGTGTGCATGATCCTAAAGAGGAGAAATTGGGTAGTGAACAACTGGATGCAATTACATACAAGGCAGCATCTTGATTCTTTGCAGCTATTCTATGATTCTACGATCTTCCTCCTAAGAATGGGTGTTTCCTGAGCTGGCCTGGTGTTGGTGATGATTATACTGGAAGCAGAAGGCTGGAGCCCAGCGGTGGCATCAGGTCACACTTAAGGGATTCTTCTCTGTTCTCTCCAGCCAAGAAATGCTCTTAGTTGCCTGAATCCAGCTTCAGAACATAGAGAAGTTGTTGCTGTAGCTCAGGCTTGAAGTAGGAAGACTTGTAAACAAGTTGGCAGGCTCTTAGGTGGGCACTGCCCTGAGGAAGGCAGAACAGTGGCTACCCCTTGCACTGAGAACTGGCACTCACTGTGATCTTAACTGAGTGATTTCAACTCAGCCTTCTTTTCTAGGGTGCAGGCAACAAACTTTTCCATGGGCTGCTTGATGAGGATGAGAAGATTCCCAGGGTTCACCTTGTCATGGAGAAGGGAGACACGGTGTTCTTCCACCCCCTGCTCATCCATGGCTCCGGGATAAACAAGACAACAGGTTTCCGAAAGGTAGGAAAACATCTCGATAGAACTCAGGATATTTCTGATTTTTAATAAGCTCATGAGTATGTGGATAATTTTCAGATGAGTTTTTATCTTACTGATACACTTTTACACACTCTATGTTTAAACATCTTTGTCTTTTGGGATAAGCACATGCTGCGGTGCTGCTTGAGAAAAACAGGACAGGAGTAGAAATTGGATGTAGAATCTGTGTTTGAAGCCTGGCTGCCTATATTTGCTTTTCCAATAGTTCCCTTTTAGTTGTCCCAAATATCAGAACTTCTCTGACTTTATTCCCCCTGCCTGCTTAGTATCTCCTCTCTGGATAGTAGGACCCTCCATCATCCAATATATAATACTGATTTATATGATAACACAGTCCATTTTCCTATTTAAGATTTGATCCCACACCATCTATTTATATTACATCATGATCATTTAACTGAAACAGGCAAAAGTGCCCTCCTTTGGAGGCCAGATCCTTCATCAGAAGTGGATTCATCCAGGCACGTTAGGGAAGTGTAGCCTCTACTGCAGCCACTAGTAACAATGCAGACATTTCCCCCCCAACCCCAGAACTGCAGCATGGGCTGCTCTATTTTTTGGTTTTGCCTGGATTGACTGCTTAGACGGCCCATTCCTTTAGCTCCTGTAGAAGTTTGCTGGTGTGGAATTCCTTCCTTCTGCAATACTGCAAGCAGAGAGAGCATCAGGTACAGAGTCTCATCTGCTGGCTCTTTCCCGGCCAGTGGAGCAATAGTCCTCTTTAATATCCTGCAGAAACACAAGAGCTTCCTTGTAACTGTGCCAGATCCCAGCATTTGTCTGTTTTTGGGGCAAATCAGTGACTATCCTGGAGCTCTCTGAGCCAGGTTATGGTCCAGCTCCCTCTGAGGTCTGGCATGATCTCACCTGCAGCTGGCACAGCTCATGTAATGAGAGCTTTTCCAGTGGGGCATTTCTGTTTATTTCCTCTGGACTCTGCTTAAGCAAGAGCTGATTGCAAAATGAAGTGGTTGATGTGATTGTCTGGGTGCAGAAAGTAAGCACTCTCACTGGGCACACACAGGTCTGCTCCAGCCCTGACTCTGGTTGCTGATACTCGCAGAATCCCAGACTGCTTTGGGTTGGAAGGGACCTTAAAGCTCACCCAGTTCCAAGCCCCTGCCATGGGCCGGGACACCTTCCACTAGAGCAGGTTGCTCCAAGCCCCGTCCAACCTGGCCTTGAACACTGCCAGGGATGGGGCAGCTGCAGCTTCTCTGGGCACCCTGTGTCAGTGCCTCAACACCCTCACAGGGAAAATCTTCTGCCTGATACCTAATCTCAATCTCCCCTTTGTCAATTTAAAGCCATTCCCCCATGTCCTATCAGTGCACACCCTTGGATCAAGTAGTGCAGTTCATGCTGGAGGAATGTTTGGGAGAGAAGGAAAGGAAGAAGAGCATGTCAGTAAGCGGGATTATTTCCCAACAAGAGTATTTCTCCAAGGGAAAACCCTCAGGAGAGTAGGAGTGCTCAGAAAGGAGGAATTCGCTGACATGATAAGGGGTGAGGTGTCCATGACCTGGGATGCATGAGGTTTGCTTCCACCAGTCATTCACAACTGATGTGGTATTGAGTGATGCCCAGTTTTCTCACACAGAGCATAAGCTGCCACTTCGCCAGCTCCGAGTGCTACTACATTGATGTCAAGAACACAACCCAAGAGCACCTGGAGAAAGAGCTGGCAGAAATGGTTCGCAAGAAGTACAACATGACTTCTGCGGAACTCAGGGTAAGACTTGGCTTTATGTTTTTTAGGTCCATTCCCTTTCCTAAGGGAGAATCCCTTGTGTGACAGATTTGTGCTTTTTACTATGCCCACTTTGCACATCAAGCTGTTTGATGCAGAGGGGTTTGGCAGAACTAAAGACCTGATGTTCACAGGATAACCAGTAGGCTTTCTGGATGCCTTTCTGCTCATAAGGCTGCTTCTCACTATGATGGAGAAGTGGCCTTGCTCTCTGGGCAGCTCCTTCACATCCGTTGAGCTCTAGAAGTTCCTCCTCCAGCTCTGTTTGTCACAGTGGGGTTTATGAGCATGCCTGGATCCCTTCCAGTACTGGCTGAGCTGGTGGAGTTGAGATCAGCACTTTGTTATGTGGCTGAGACTGATGTTGCAGCATAAGCGAGGAGGAGCTGCAGACCGCTCTTGTGACGGCTTAGCTCTGATGCTCCTCAGGTGCCCTTCTTAGAGCATTGGAGGGGGTCTGGCTTTCTCCCTGTGCAATGGGGTGGGCTAAAATGGCAAGGCAGGAATAGGGTGAAGTCCATGCAAGCTTTGCCCTTCACTGCATCTCCTTGTTCACAGTTGTCTGAACCAGTGCTCCTTGCAATTGTATTTGGACTGCATGATGTAAATAGGAAGATGTGGTCATCTCTTGCCCTGAAATTTCAAGTATAAGAAGGTGCAATAAACTCAGTGCTCATCCACAGCTTCTATGGCCACAGTTCTTAGAGTTTCCCTTCCAAATGGCAGATTTTCCCTTTAAATCAAGTAGCCACACCTGACTGCAATAGCAGACCAGATTTGTTTGGTTAAACATCTCCCGTCAGTTTACACTGAAGTCTACAGCAGGTATGTTGGCAGCAGCATACATCTGCCTCAAAAGAAAACTAAATGTGGGGTAATGGACTTGTGGTGAAAAACTGAAACCACTGTGTGAAATGGAGAGCAAAGCTCAATTCTTCCGGGATTTGGCGACTGAAAGAACACTAAACTTTGTTACTGGAGGGGAAATGTGCTGAATTTCTTCATCCACAGCAGTTCCCAAACACAGGCACAGCTGGGGTCAAGGCAGTGAAGTCTGGAAGTGATAGGCAGTGATTTTCCTTTTGAATGTACATATTTTACAGCTATTCCAATATCAAGAGCATTGTGGAGGAGACTCTCCTTTGGGGATTGTTGTGTTTTGTTTTCCCCATGCTGTGCCTGGGTCTGATGGGGTGTCCAGCTGTGTTTTGCAATCCTGTTCTTACACATTGTCTGCAAAGTTACAGCTTGCTTGGCTTTGGATTCCTGGAGCTATTTGGGTATGCAGTGAAACTCAAAGTGAACGCAGTGAGGCTCTTGCCTTCTCATGAGTAGAAATGCCATTGTGCCCATTCAAACCTCAGATGAGTCTGTGTTCATGTAGCTTTAACCTTTTCACCACAGGTGGAGCTTTTTTCCAGAGGATTGCTCCATAGCTCTTACATTTCACCTTCAAAAGGCTAATGATAAGAAGTAATCCTCACCCAGAGAAACTGAGGTAGCAGCTTGCCCAACATTTATCACCGTGAAGCAAATAGCAGTGGTTTCTGCTTTACAGCAGTGCCTGCCCAGCACCTGACTTCTAGCTGAGGACTTGCATTCATACCCATTACTTGGTTCCTGCTGCACAAGGACTATCACTTGCTCATGGGCAGCAGTATGCAAGATGTAGTCAGTTGGGAGCTTTTCTGACCACCCAAAGGCACACAGGGAAGGCTCTGTGACTTCTGCAAGGGTGATGTTCTTTGTGCTGCTCATGTTTCCTCTTCTGACCCCCTCCAGCATTGAACCATGGACATCTTGTCATCCAACAGCCTTGCAAACAAGCTGTCTCTTTGGAGTGGAGATTGCACCTCTTCCTTACTGTGTTTTTGTTCTCGATATTTAGGATTTGGAATGCTATTCAGTGAACGTTCTGGTGTGTTTCTATGGATAGGCAGCTGTATCTATATATATCTATTTCCATGTCTGTACACTGGAATCCTGGTCATTGTTTCTGCTGGCCCTTAAGATTTTCTGCTTTGTCCCATTTTTGTTTTAAAGGATATTTGGAACATCCGAGCACGGCTTGTGCAAGGGGAAAGAATTAATCTGTAGAACAACCCCTGAAGAGCAGGATGGAAACCATGGGCCTGAGAATGAGCTTCTCTGATCGGAGGGTGCAGACCTTGCCTGTGCTTTGTTGACCTCTGGATTGGTAACTTAGCCAAAAGCTGCATCAGGAAATCATTGTATGCTAATATGAAGTAATTGCACTGAGGTTGAAGAACTGATGTCAAGGGAAACTAACCTAGAAAACTGGATTGCTGTATCTTAGAAAATCAAAGAATTAAGGTGTTGAAATAGCACCTTGATTTCCTTGATGTGTTTATTCTTGTTTTTAGAAGTTTCTCACTGACACCCCTGTGTAATGATGCTAGATTAACATAAGATTTTATGCAAGAATTTCCAACTTCCTTTTCTATGCAAAAGAAAGAAAATGAATCAGTTTCATACAAGCCCTCGGTATGAGCTCACATGGGAAGGTATTGGTACAACTGATGGACATGGGCATATTTGTACCAGCAGAATCAACCGTGTAAGGAACTGGATAAAAGGGAAGCAGCAACCACTCACATAGAAAAATGGGATTGATGGGCTGGAGCTTGGTTGCTGGTAGGGTTCCTCAAATGTGACCTGGTGTTGGCATTGCCAACTGCCAATTGCAGTGCTGGCACAAGTGAAGAATGTGACTGACAGGGTTGGGAGTTACTGGAAGAGCAAACCAGCCTCTTGTTAGCCTTACAATGGATGGCAAGCTGTGGAAATGAGGGGGGAGTCGTTTGAGCCTGGGAGGAGGTGCCTTTTGGTGCTGCCAGGTTGTGGAGGTGGTTGTATGCTGCTCAGGATGCACTGGATTTGGGGTGGGGTAATGCACACTGACGTGATCCTCTCACCTTTTACAATGTTTTTTCTTGCTTTCTGAAAGATTCTTTTGCTTTCAGAATCTGTTTTCTGAAATACAGATTAAATCAGAGCAAACCTTGATCCAGGGCTGTATTGTGTCGTTTCTGCTGCTCAGTGGGTATGTCATTGAATACCCCAGTGCAAAATGTAAGCCCTCATCTCTTTTACACTACCCCTCCTGCCTGAAGAAGGTGCCAGAACAGCACCAATGGCTGCACTGATGGGCTCTCAAGGCTCCTTCTGTTATCCTGTGTTGGTCCTAACCCCTTGGTGATTGGGTGAGGTGTCTGGGCTGTCGTGCCCACCTGGAAACAGACACAGCCTTTCAGTAGCCTCTGGTTTGACCCCAACACTGAGAAGTCTGATGAGGGGAAGACTTTAGGACAGCCCCCCCCTCCCAGCCCTGCTCACTGAGTGATCTTGAGTATCCTGGTTCCTGCATCCCTTGCCACACACCCTCTATATAACTGGGGGATGTACTGTGGTGCCCCTCCAGACTCAGACCTTGTCATCCTGGTCTCCGCTTGCTGCATAGGCTTAAGTGAATGATTTGCAGTGAGTTGGAATCTCCTCTGCTGCCTTTGCTGAGCTCACAGCCTAGCTGGTGCTCTCCTTGGGAGTTCTGTGAGGACTGAAGAGTATCCTGTCTGGTCCACAACGCGGGGTTTGTGGAGACTTCACTGCTTGATGTTACCGGTGCAGCCGAGTTGACTGCAGAGGGAGCTGTGACCACGGAGAAGAGCTACATGTGTCGGTCAGATGCCCAGCTTCCAGAATGCATTATGGCTGGACTTCGTGATCTCAAAGGTCTTTTCCAACCTAGTTGATTCTATGATTCTGTGATTCTCTTACTATGGCTGGGAGAGGGAAGGAAAGGAAGAACTTTACCTTTGTTTTAGAAGTTTGTGCAGCTCCGCTTATGGATTTAGGCTTAAATTTCCTCTTTCAGAAGAACAAACCCATCAAAGACCTTACAGAGCATCTAAACTCAGCAGTTGTCCCACGTGATGAGAGGCTCAAGTCCTCACTCCCTCCTATAACAACAGGTCAAGGTACTTCAGAGCCTGGAGAGGATTAAGCTTGGGCAGGCTCTTCTCAACTGTGTGCAAGGCCAGATTGAGGCATCCTAGCAATGCCAAGGAGCCTGATCCCTGCTCTCTGAGATGACTGTGGGCAGAGCCAGAGCCAGCAGCTTCTTGGCTGCTTCTCAGTAAAGCCATTTGCTCATTGGTGCAGAAGTGTGTCCCCGGAAGAGCAAGGATCTACAAGCACTTCTGCACAGGACATTAGAGTAAGGGATGGAGTCCAAAGGATGCTTCATCAGTCCATGTAAATGGACATGTAAAGGATCTACCTGGTAAGTGGTTTCTTGTCCCTGTTCTCAGCCATCCCAGCCAGCAGAGATCCTGTAGTCGCAGGTTTCCAAAGCACATTTCCCACCAGTGGGAATTCACAGCTAGAAACTCATCTCAGCCTCCAGCACTTGGCTTTGCAGGCAAAAACCCAAACCACAACTGTGTATCTCTTAGGGTTTGGTTTGCTGCAGCTCAGTGCAGGTGAGAAGTGATAAATGCTCCAGTCCTGGCGTGTTCAAGGCCAGGCTGGACAGAGCCTTGGGTGGCATGGTTTAGTGTGAGGTGTCCCTGCCCATGGCAGGGGGGTTGGAACTGGATGATCTCACGGTCCTTTACAACCCAAACCAGTCTGTGATTCTATGTCAGGCAGGTGACTGCAGAGGGAGCTGTGGCCACAGGAAAGCTGCAAGGTCACATCAGCCTTCAGGTTCAGATTCCCTCTTTGAATTACCACCATGGCAGCAGGCAGGGGAGGAGGGGAAAAGCAATGATTCACCAGGTCGCTTTATTGTTTCTCTGCGGGGAAACCTACCCAGCGCACTGCAGCCCCGTGGAGAGCAAGTGCAGGAACCCAAAACCACTGTCCATCCGTCAGTGATTATTGCAGTCCCAAAGTATCAAGCTGTTTCCCTCAGACAAGGGACTCTGTGGTGAGCATCGCTCCTATGACAGCACCTGTAGGTGGTTTGCCTGTGCTTGGTTTTTACTCTGGTTAAAACTGCTGATAGTAGGTCCACCCTCATGAGCAAGCTCTTTTTACTTGCAATGTGTTGCATAAACCACATTTTCTTTCCTATTGCTTTTTTCCTCTGCAGATCCTCAAAGCTGTTGAATGCTTCACAGGGCCAAGCATAGTGGTCATGTAGATGATGCGGATAAATAAACTTTCAGATCCTGGTAAGCAGAGCTCCAGGAATACAGACATACAGAAGTTGTTGGTATGCCCAAGTGCTGCACATTTAACTGAAGCAGCACTTACCCTTTTAGAAAAGTTGCTTGAATTGAATCGAATGCAAATCTGAACATATCTGAAGTCATTTTGGGCACAGTATGGTTTAGTTTAGCCTTGGCTTGATGGGACACATTTCTTACTGCTTGGTTTGCAAATAGATGTTCAGGCTCACACACAGGGAGGTGCGTGTGTGCCTCCTAAACTGAAGTGCTCTTATATCAAACCACATGTTACACCTAAAACTTTCTTTACAACTAATTTAACTGTAGAATCCCAGACTGGTTTGGGTTGGAAGGGACCTTAAAGTTCATCTAGTTCCACCCCCCTGCCATGGGCAGGGACATCTCACACCAGAGCAGGTTGCGCAGGTATGTTTCTCCAGTTTAGGTCTCTGCACCATGTTAGCTCTCCCTCAAGTATTTGCTTTTTAATAAGCATCATGCAGGTTCCAAAAATGCACATGACACCATCAGCCCCCAGATTCAGCTGCTTATTTCGCACCTGCACGTGCATGAAACCCGACTCTTTAAGACACATTCTTTAGGCTTGACATTTCACATGTGTTGAAAACAAGCGCTTCCTGGAGCTTTTGGTAAAAGACCATAAATACAGAGGAGGTCCTTTGTTTGGAGTTTTTGTGCTGTTTTCCGGACTGTTACTTCAGAGATGTCAAATCCAGGCTGACTCCTGACCTTGCTGACAGTGGTTGCAAGCTCAGCGCTTTGATGGGAAGACACTTGAATAGGTGCCAAAGGAAGGATTTTGAATCCTGGCTTTGGCTTCTGGTGCTGCAGATCAAAGTCTTAACTTCATACAAGGGGAATGGGGGGGAGGAAGTTTAATTAACCACAGTTTTTACAGGGTTGATTTGACTCTTCATCACCTTCTGCAGTTCAGCAGAGCTCAGACCTGCGCTGTTCCTACTCTGAGGTGTCCAGCTTCTGCGCAGACACAGGGTACATTGAGTTCTCATTCAGTTTATTCATGCCATTCCCAACCACTCTGTAGAGCAGCTGTGACCCAAGAACCATGTTTGGGGCCTCACTGTGTCATAGAGTGAGATTTAAACTCATTTGGTCTCAGAACTGAGTGCCAGCAAGGAGCATGCTTAGAGCCCGTGCTTCACCTGCAGCTTTGGAGCAGCTCATGGGACACATTACCAAGGTGATGCTCTCCCAGGACAGTGCTGTGCCACATGTAAAGTGCATGAAGTCTTTTCAGTGCAGCCACCCACATTCCCTGTCCTCCAGATAACCTGAGTTCTCAACATCCCATGCATCAGAACTTGCACTGATCTCCTTCTAGCATGAGGACCATATTGTGTGCTCCTGGACCACAATAGAAAGGGACAACCTGGTTGTGCAGCCAGGGATGCACAAGTTGCCCCTCACAGCTATCCAAAGAGGGAGGTAGAGCAGCACAGTCTTATCCTATGCGTGTATGATACGATTGTTCAGAGAAGCTGCGGCTGCCCCATCCTTGGCAGTGTTCAAGGCCCGGTTGGATGGGGCTTGGAGCAACCTGCTCTAGTGGAAGGTGTCCCTGCCCGTGGCAGGGGGTTGGAACTGGAAAAGCTTTAAGGTCCCTTCCAACCCAAACCATTCTCTGATGCTATGAGGTGCAACTGGGGAAGCTGAGCCTTCTGTGAGATGTGCAAAGATGATCCAGGAAGCAGAGTGGATGACTCTGGTTCTTTTTAAGTGAGTCTTTACAACTGATCAGCAAGACTTGCAGGCGAACAAGCAGACTCTTTATTGGGTATGCCGAGTGTACTACCTTCATGAAAGAAAATGGATAACCTCCTTTGCATCTCTTCTACACTCAGAAACTTTCTAATTTTACTGACCTGTTTCCACTCTTGGTTTCTGGAGTCTGGCAATCAAATTTCTCCATGGGCTGCTGGATTATGATGAGAAGAGTCCCACGGTTCACATTGTCATGGAGAAGGGAGACACTGTGTTCTTCCACTCCGTTTATTCATGGCTCCAGAGCAAACAAGACATCAGGTTTCCAAAAGGTAGGAGACCAGCTGCAGATATTTCTTTAGCTGCTGAACACCATCGAAGTCTTAACTAGGAACTGATTACAGAATAAGTGGCTTGATTGGACTTGATGATCTTAAAGGTCTTTTCCAACCCAGCTGATTTTATGCTGTGACTGTGTGGGTGCAGAGTAAAAATCCTAATGAACACATGGATCTGCTCTGATTGCCACTCTGGTTGCTGGTAATGGGAGGTCAAGGAAGTATTGCTTTAGGTCACATGTGTCCACGATCGAGATGCATGAGCTTTTTCCTACCAGCCAGTTGTAATCGATGTGGTAGTGAGTGATGCCCACACAGAGTATAAGCTGTCACCTCACCAAACAGGCTTTGCAACATGGTTTTGCATTGGAGATTAGAATAAAAGGAGAAAAGTTTGGCTTGCACTCTTGTCCCACATGTACTTTACTTCAGAGGGGTTCTGTGGATGCCAGGTGACAATCTCCTGTGGGTGTGATATAAGGAAGAAGTTCTTTACTGTGAGGGTGGTGAGGCACTGCAATGGATTGTGCAAAGACATGGTAATTGCTCCATCCCTGGTGGTGTTCGAGGCCAGGTTGGACAGAGCCTTGGGTGACATGGTTTAGTGCAAGGTGTCCCTGCCCATGGCAGGGGGGTTGGAACTGGATGATCTTAAGGTCCTTTCCAACCCTAACCATTCTATGAATGAGAATATTGTGTGGCAGCCAGAGACACCAACTAAAACCACTTCCTTTTGGTGATTCAGCACCAA